TCGTCGTGGCTCCACACCGTTCTTTGTTCTGGTTTACGTCGACGACCTCGTTTTCGCCACTCCGGACAGGGTTGCTTTGGCAGACGTGAAGTCCGAACTGCAGAAGAGACACACGTGCACTGATCTTGGTGAACTGCGCCACTACCTTGGCCTGCAGATCACCAGGGACAGAGCCGCTCGCACCATTACACTCTCACAGTCACACATGGTGCAGCAGGTCCTTCAGCGGTTCGGGCTTCAGCACTCCACCGTACAGCGCACACCTCTAGCTGTTGACCACAGACTCACTGGTCCCTTTCCTGACGAGCCGTTTGAGCCTAGTGGTCCCTACGCAGAGCTTGTGGGTTGCCTCATGTACCTGATGACTTGTACTCGCCCGGACCTCGCCTTCCCTCTCAGCATCCTTGCGCGCTTTGTTGCGCCAGGGAGACACCGTCCTGTTCACTGGACGGCAGCTGTGAGGGTGGCGAAGTACCTAGCGACTACATCAGGCGTGGGGCTAGTTCTTGGAGGGCAGCAGTCTGTCGTACTCACTGGTCACTGTGACTCCTCTTACGCTGACGACGCTGAGACTCACAGGTCTACTCAGGGGTACTGTTTCAGTCTGGGTTCTGGAGCTGTTTCCTGGCGTTCCACGCGCTCCTCTTCTGTCTCGACCTCTACAGCTGAGGCTGAGATTTACGCTGGTGCCATGGCGGCACAGGAGTTGCGGTGGTTGACCTTCTTGCTCACTGACCTTGGTGAGCGGCCGAGCTCTGCACCGACCTTGTTTACTGACAACAAGGCGTCGATCCTCCTCTGTCGTGAGCCGCGACTGGAGAGCAGAGTGAAGCACATTCACATCAGGTACTTTCTTCTGCGAGAGTTGCAGAGGCGTGGACAGGCTCGCTTCGAGTTCGTAGAGTCCGAGGCCAACACTGCAGACATCTTCACCAAGGCGCTTCCGCCTTGTGACCACCAGAGGTGTTGTGTGCAGTTAGGCCTTGTTGACACAGGTTCTAGTCATGCGTAGACTTGAGTTTATTGCCTGCTTCGTCTGTACATTTACTATATATACTTGTGATCTCTTGGACTGGCCTTGTGGCCACTGTTGCTTGTGCTCAGAGTGTGTGGTGACGTTGTGATCCACCCTGAGCTTTGTTTTCTTTTGGACTGGTCTTGTGACCGTACTCTTTTTGTTTTTGCTAGACACCCCTCACTTAGGCTATGGGGGTGTGTCAAATGTTGTAGCCTGTAGTGAGGTTTGTCTTAGGGGGTACAGAAGTTAGGGTTTGTCATATGTACCCCAACCAACATCAATGCAACACTCATTCCTCATTCTGACAGATAGAAGCGCCCCTGGGGTTATAAAAAAACACTGTTTTTTAGGTGGTGGGCTTATAATTGAGGATTTTTATAAGCGCCGGGGCTTATGAAATGACATATATGAAATCTAGTTTTTTTACACCAAAGTGTTCATCTCGTCCTTGCGATTTGAATCGAATCGATATTGTAGAGGGCTGGAATGTGAATCTCGCGTAAATTGGCAGTGGCTGATTCTCTGCCAACACGCACAGTCAGAATGAGTCAGATTGACCCCATGACAGGTCATTCTGACTGGACGCGAAGGCATTGAGTCGCGCGATGGTGAAGGGATTCGAATTTCTGAATGTGGGGATGCAAAAATTGTGTTTCGTTACAGCGTTTCCAGTAAAAATCTTAAAATTAATTCAGAGGGTGGCGCTTATAATCCGTAAGCCTTTAGGGGTGCGCTTATAATCGAGGACCGGATATAAGCGCCCTCATCCTTTTATAAGCGCCGGCGCTTATCCGAGGCCTGCGCTTCTATCCGGGGGCTTACGGTACACTCGTACCTAGTAGGATTCGCTTTCAGGGTCAAACTCGTTACAACGTAAAGGCATCAGTGTCACTTCAAAAAAATTGCTGAAAGTTCAGAGTCATGTGGCATGTGAAGGCTGAAAAATCAGTCCTAGGAAAAGCTGAACACTGGATTTTCAGGGTAGGTAAAAAAAAAACCCTGAAAATCAGGAATTTTAGGGTAAAATTCCTGATATCGTAGGGCCTGTTCCCCACCATTTCAACCCCAAGAGAAGCGCAGTGTGCCCCACCAGTGCTGGGGCGGGAGCAGTGCTCTGTCGCACACTGGGTTGTTCGTTCGGCCCTCCCATATCCTCGGGGACAGCTCTCGCATAGTATCGTGGCGAAGAGTGTTTTTCCCGCCTCCTGAATTCGGTTTCGCCCCACACACATTTTCGAAATTCACGATTTTCAGGTTTTCGCCTAACTGTTTCAACCCCACATAACTTGAAAAATTACCATGCTGACCTCGGGCTTTAACTTACTTTGCCCTCACATACTAGCGCAAGGTGGTTCAGAATCTCTTTGTTAACGCTTCCGCTACATCACTCTACCCAGAGATTAACCCTACCAAAGATCCTAGGGGGCACTCAGCCCAACAATTTGTACCCTGCTATAGTAGGTGCATAATTGAGTCCGTCCGTGTGCAAGAGCCAATGTCTGGTTTTGAATGCACTGCTTTGAGTTGAAAATAAATGGCTATGGTCGTTCCACAAGGTTGAGATGTTTGGATTGGATCTGCGGGGCATGAAGTCAATCATGAACGCATTGGGGCCGAGTGAGCTGAGTGGGATTTGAGTTAACTGATCCTGATTCCTGAATGAAAAATGAGCTGCACTCTCAGGCCTGGTGTGATAAAACCAGGTCATGCTGTTGTATGGACGAATAGAGCGGTCCTTGCACCCCAGCCACCAGTATGTACAGTACACAGCACACCTAACAGCACTCCCCCCGGCACCGCATGTGAACATGGCACTGGCGAGTCAGCCTGGCATGGCAGCTAGAGCGAGGTGAAGGGGAGTGAGGAAGCATCTGGGAAGGTGTGGTCGAGGAGGGCGTAGGTGCCGGAGGCGAGCAGCAGGGCGCCGCTGGCGGGGTTGATCCACAGCGCGTGCTGCCTCAGCGCCAGCAGCCGCTTGAGCGCGCCTGTGAAGGCCGCTGCCAGCATGAGCGGCGACACGAAGCCCAGCGTGTACACCAGCAGCAGTGCCCCGCCCAACACCGCGTCCTGCCATGCCATTGGGGGGGTAGAGCGGGACACAGGCAGGGGTAGTGCGGTGCACAGGCAGGGTGCGGGGCACAGGCAGGGATAGTGCCGGGAATGGAAGCAGGGAGAGAGAGAGACAGGGAGACGCAGAGGCAAGGAGGAGTTAAGGGTGTGGTGTGAATAAGAGTGCGTGGGGAGGTGGGTGCATGACAAGGATAACACACAGCAAGCAACGACGCACAGTGGTGAGCTGAGCATCACCATCTGCACCGCCCTGCCTGCACTCACCCCGGTGGACGCCTGCACTCACCCCGGTGGACGCCTGCACTCACCCCGGTGGACGCCTGCACTCACCCCGGTGGACGCCTGCACTCACCCCGGTGGACGCCACGTAGGCCAGCAGCGACGCCAGCACGGGCGTGGCGCACGGCGACGCCACAAACGCGAAGGCGCCGCCCGCGAGGAGCATCTGCACCGCACTGGGGAGGCGCGCCGCCGCCCGCTTGGCGTCGAAGCCGCCGAAGGCAGAGGGCAGGCGGAGAGGCAGCAGGCCGAGCAGGTTGAGCCCCATGGCCACCGCCACGCCCCCTGCCACCACCGGCAGCACCCCCGCCACCACCCCACCTGCGCCGCCGCCCGCCGCCTGCCCGTACGCGCGCCCCGCGAGCGCGGCGGCGACGCCCATGGCGGCGCGCGTGGCGGCGAGGCCGAGCGCGAAGCAGGCGGCGTCGGCGGCGATGAGGGCGCGCGGCTTGGCGGCCTGGAAGCCGGCGATGTAGCCGACGGTGAGCGGCAGCACGGACAGCGTGCACGGCGTCAGCGACGTCGCCACGCCCGCCGCGAACAGCACGGCGACGCTCGCGGGCGACAGCGACGCGAGCTCCAGCGACACGAGGCGGTCCGACAGGTGCGCCGCGGCGAAGAGCGCGTCGTCGACGGCGTCCCACGCGGCGGAGAGGTCCAGCGCCGCCAGCGGGAGCGCGGGGAGGGGCAGCGCGGCGACGGCGGATGCGGCGAGCGGGGCAGGCAAAGGGGCAAGCAGGGATGCGGCGACGGCGGGAGGCGTCAAGGCGGAGAAGGTGAGGGCGACGGCGGAAGGGGGAAGCGCGAGGGAGAGGAGGGCGGAGAAGGATGCGGGAGGAAGGAGAGGCGCGGATGAGGAGGGAGGCTGCGCGCCCTCGCTGCCGCCATCGTCATGCGCGCCTGCTGCGCGGGCGGCTGGAAGGGCAACCGCAACGCGCTCGCTAATTTCTGGCTCGCGCCCTTGCGCGCTCTCCCCACATAGCCGTGTGGCTTCTTCGGCCGGCGCTGCAGCGGGGAGCGCGCGGGCGGCTGCGAGGCAAAGGCGCGGGCGGCGCGAGAGCAGCCGGCTGGAGGAGATGCCGGCGGGACCAGAGGAGAGCGCGACGCGTGACACGGGTGGCGAGCGGCAGCGGTGACGGTGGGCCAGCCCAGTGTTTGCGGTAAGAGGGGCGCCGCGAGGCGCGGCGACTGCCATGCGCGACGTGCGGGTGGAATGCGGCGTGGCGTGGTGCAGGGCTGGACGCGTGGCACGCGAGGGTGGCAGTGTGTTGTGTGGGACTGCCCACGCAATGACGCTGAGAAGCCTCACGACATTCTGCGAAATTTGGGTGGAGTTACCCTGATGTGTACATCTGAAGAAGAGTTAGCGTGTATACGATGTGGATAAATAACACAAGAGGATGACTGCTTATAGAGTACACGTGCTTGCTGCTGTTTTCCGCTTCCTCGCGCGCACAAGCTCAACACAATCTCAACTTGTGCTGTCCCACTGCATCAGATCCGTGCCTCTCGATCGCTGCCAAGTGATTTATCGCAATCTAGATTCTTCCGATTTAACGCGCTTCCACCGAGACCCTTGCGCTCTTCGAGTGCGGCGCGCACGCGGGGAAGCACGACGCGCACGCGGGGAAGCATGGCGCGCGAGGTGCAGATGGCGGACGGCGGCGACGACCCCAAGGCGACGCCCGAGGGAGGGGCGGGCGACGGGCGCGATGCGAAAGGCGAAGGGCAGACCAGCGCGCCGCAGACGCCGCAGCAAGTTCTGGCAGGTGGGCGGCGCGCGGGGTGCAGCAGGACGGGTGGGATTCGGGTGGAGGGAGCCTGCGCGGCGTGCGTGGGAGTGGATGATTCGTTCGGCAGTTGTGCGTGTGGCTGCTGCACGCCGCGGCCAGCATCCGTCCATGTCGGATCGCCCTCGCCCGTCTTGAATTTCACCCGTCCGCGTCAAATCTGATCCGTACATCTCCTGCTTTGCCTCGCTGCTTCTTCTCACCCGATTTTCTTGAATGCTTTCGCCGCTCCCCTCTCCTCTCCCGTGCCTCTCCCGCGGTCGTGGTGGGCGCAGAGCTGCAGGCGCAGAGGCCGCTGGTGGAGCGCGCGGTGGTCACGCGCGAGGTGCGCGTGATGGCGCGCGCAGTGCGCGCCATGCTGGCGCTCCGCAGGAGGCTGACGGGCGGCGTCGTGCGCGCGTTCGTGCGCGCCAACGTGCACAGCGAGGCGGACGCGCACTCCACGCTGCTGGCGCTGCTGGCGCAGGTGAGAGCGGCACGGGGAGTGTTGCGGGGACTGGTGTGAGGCGCCCAGGGGTGAGGCGGACAGGGGAGGCGGGGAGATTGGGACAGGTGAGTGGGGGACTGGTTCGTGTGAGTGAATCTAGCATGTCCTTGGGTGGTGGTTGCCGCGACACAAATCATCTGTGCTTCTTCCCCCTGCGTGATTGCATGGGGCATGGGGCATGGCCTGCGGGGCATGGGGCATGGGGAATGGCATGCGGGGCATGGGGCATGGCTTGCGGGGCATGGGGCATGGGGGATGGCCTGCGGGGCATGGGGCATGGGGCGTGGGGCATGGGGCATGGGGCATTGGGCATGGGGCATGGGGAATGGGGCATGAGGCATGGGGCATGGAGCGGCGCAGGTGGACACGGACGAGGACATGGAAGGCGGGGCGGACGCCCCCTCGCCCGCACCACCTGCATCCGCGGAAGGCGTGTCCACGTCGGTTGCAGCAGCAGGGGCGGGGGCGGGGGTGGTGCGGGCGACATGGCTGCCGGAGGTGGAGATGTTCTCCTTCCTCACCGCGCTCGTGCTGCTCATCGACCGCAAGGCCTTCTCTCTCGTGCGCCCCATGCCCCTCCCTTGCTGCCCTCTTGACGCCTCTATGTACTCTCGTGCTGCTCTGCTGTGCTGTGCTGTGCTGTGCTGCCTCAATCACGCCACCAGAGGTGCCCCTCACCCGTCCATGCGCCCATGAGTGCAGCGCCCTCCGCCATGCTGCATGTCTGCCGCACATCCACGTGCTATGCACATGCTCTTGACTCATGCCCCATGCCCCACGGCCATACCACGTGCACGCGCAACTTCCTTCCCACCATCGCCCCACCCGTCTGGTGCAGGCGTGTGAGTGTGCATGGGCGGCGGTGAGGCGTCTGCAGCAGCTGAATCGGCGCACGTTGGATGTGTTGGGGGCGCGCATCTACTTCTACTTCTCCCTCGCGCACGAGCGCACCACCGCCCTCGCCTCCATCCGCAGGTACCCCCCTTCCCCCCCTTTCCTTCTTCCCCACCACCACACATGCTGCCTCTTCCAGTCGTTGCAGTGCAATTGTGCCGCTTCCTTCTCACCTCCTCCCCTTTCCTCCAGCCTTCACACCTTCGCGTCCTCCCTGGCAGCCCCTGCCCTTCTGCCACCTCCTCTCTCGCATGTCTCCCTCACAGCAACCCCTTCCGTGCCCCTCCGCCCTTCCGCCCCCCTCCCCCTTCCCCACGGCAGCACGCTGCTGGCGGCGTTTCAGACGGCCACGCTGCGCCACGACGAGATCGGGCAGGTCAGCGCCGCGTGCATGCTGCATGGGAGGGGGGCATGGGGGGGGAAGGGGCGTGGGGGGTGCAGGGGCCATGGCACGAGTGTTCTGGGGACAGGTTGAGTCAGGGGCAGGGGAAAGTGGTGAGGTGACAGGTCGGGGTTTCAAAGGGGCATGGGTGACGGAGGTGGTTGTTTCAAACTAAAACGTTGCGTGGTGGCTGGGCATGTGTGTGTGGTGCGCGCATGGCATGGCATGGCATGGCATGGCATGATGGCAGGAGATGCTGTTGAACCTGCTGCTGCGCAACTACCTGGCGTACAACCTGTACGACCAGGCTGACAAGCTGCGCTCCAAGGCCCTCCGCCCCGACTCCCACTCCAACCAGCAGGTGCGCCCACTCCCACTCCAACCAGCAGGTGTCACTCCCACTCCAACCAGCAGGTGTCACTCCCACTCCAACCAGCAGGTGTCACTCCCACTCCAACCAGCAGGTGTCACTCCCACTCCAACCAGCAGGTGTCACTCCCACTCCAACCAGCAGGTGTCACTCCCACTCCAACCAGCAGGTGTCACTCCCACTCCAACCAGCAGGTGTCACTCCCACTCCAACCAGCAGGTGTCACTCCCACTCCAACCAGCAGGTGCGCCACTCCCACTCCAACCAGCAGGTGTCACTCCCACTCCAACCAGCAGGTGTCACTCCCACTCCAACCAGCAGGTGTCACTCCCGCTGCCTCTTTTGCTGCGAACTCGCTCGTTGCTGCTCTCCACTGCCTCACCTCTTCTCCCTGCTCCCTCCTGCTCTCCCCCTTGCTCACTTCCCTGCTCTCCTCCCTGCTCCTTGCCGTACTCGTCTCTACACATCCGCCCTCACCACCCACCCCCCTGCGAGCGGAGCGCAGCTGTGCCGGCAGCTGTACTACGCGGGGCGCATAGCGGCGGTGCAGCTGGAGTACAGCGCGGCCAAGGACTGTCTGCAGCAGGCGGCGCGCAAGGCACCGGCGGCGGCGCTGGGGTTCCGCACCGAGTGCACGCGGTGGCACGTGCTGGTGCGGCTGCTGCTGGGGGAGATCCCCGAGCGCCACCTCTTTGTGGCGCCCGGCATGCGCTCAGCGCTGCTGCCCTTCTTCCAACTCACCAATGTGAGCCGCCGCACTTGCGTACACAGCAATAGCAGCTGACTTTGCCGCTTGATTAGCCATTCCCATTGCATGCTTGAACTCCTCCCTGCATGCCCAGACACCCACTTCATGTCGAGACAACCTTATCACGAGGCCTCGTCCCCCTCCGCCTGCCGTCCCTCCCCCCTCCCCCCCGGCCCCGCGTGCCCCCTCGTGGCAGGCGGTGCGGGTGGGCGATCTGCAGCTGTTCCACTTGGCGGCCACGCAGCACGCGGCGGTGTTTGCTTTGGGGCACATGCAGAAGCTGATCGTGCGGCTGCGCCACAACGTGATCCGCACGGCGCTGCGCCGCATCTCCCTGGCCTACTCGCGCATCTCCCTCGCTGACATCGCCCTCAAGCTCCACCTCCCCCCGCCCACCGCCGTTGCTGACGCCGAGTGCATCGTGGCCAAGGTAGGCGGGGTGTGCTGCAGTGGCCAAGGTAGGCGGGGCGTGGTGCAGTGACTTGGTGCGACCATCACAGCTTGGTGTGTATGCGATATTCAGTTGAAAGCAGTGACGCATGTTGATGCAATGTGTTATCAGTGAAGCATGCTATGAAGCAATGTGTTATCAGTGAGGCGTGTTGATGTTATGTGTTATCAGTGAGGCGTGTTGATGTTATGTGTTATCAGTGAGGCGTGTTGATGTTATGTGTTATCAGTGAGGCGTGTTGATGTTATGTGTTATCAGTGAGGCGTGTTGATGTTATGTGTTATCAGTGAGGCGTGTTGATGTTATGTGTTATCAGTGAGGCGTGTTGATGTTATGTATTATCAGTGAGGCGTGTTGATGTTATGTGTTATCAGTGAGGCATGGGATTGGGAAATAATGATGCGGCTCTCTACCTCTGCCCCTCATGCTTCATTCACTTGCCTGTTCCGTTGCGTATGTGGGGCGGGGTGGCATGTTGGTGGTGGGTGAGTGGTTGGAGTGAGTGGCAGGCGATTCGGGACGGGGGCATAGAGGCGGTGATAGAGCGGCGGCAGGGGTGCATGGTGAGCAAGGAGGGCGGCGATGTGTACACCACGCTCGACCCGCAGGCCGCCTTCCACACACGCATCGCCTACTGCCTCAACCTGCACAACGAAGCAGTCAAGGTCAGTCAACCGCGGTCATTGTCAGTCATTTGTCAATGACAGTCCATGTCAGTGAATTGCTGTCAAATCTCAGTTAGCAGAAGCAGTCAGATTGATTAACAGAAGCCAGAGTCAAGTTCAGGTTTAGTGAACAACCGCCAGAATAAGTCAACCGCAGCCAGGGTCGCACAACAGAAATGGAGGTCAGTGAGGAGCAGTGAAGGCAGAGATGAGGTAGCAGTGGGCAGAGATAAGGTAGCAGTGAATGAGCAATACACGTGCAGGTGCATGATATGAATTGTGACTGCCCACGTTGCCATTCACACTCCCCTTGGCCGTCCTCCAGGCCATGCAATTTCCTCCCAGCACTCGTAAGGGCGAGGTGGATGCAGAGGAGAAGAGGAGAGAGAGGCAGCTGGCGGAGCAAGAGTTGGCGCAGCACATTGCCGAGGAGGGAGACGACGACTTCTGACACCACACATGCTGCATTTACATTCTGAACACCTTTCTCAGTAGAACGCCGTTCAGTGTCAGGTAGCTGTACCTTGTAGAGTTAATGCACACTTGCAAGGTTTTTTCAACCACCAGTCTCGAGTTGTCTCTCAAGTGTTGGTCAGCAATCGTCAATCACGTGTGAAAACTCTCGTGGCCCGAATTGCAGACCGTGCGGGGCATCATTACTATTCTTGCAAACTTGGGCTTATTTTTTCTGATGAATCTGTCAGAATAGTGAGCAGGGCCTCAGATTCACTTTTAGGGTCGTCGACCCATCAGGGTACCCCTATGTAGAAACCCTGATTGACAGTGTTCCTAAAAAAAAAAGCCTGAAATATCAGTGTTGCCTTTGAAAAAAGGCTGATGCATCAGTGTTCAATAATATGAAAGGCTGTTATTACTAGAAATCTCTATTTTAATTAATAGGTCAGTAGCGGCCTTCCGAAACATTGCTAAGCTAACATGCCTCATGAATCATCACCAGCCGTGCTATCATCACTGCCCTTAGCCTTTGGTTTTTCTCTCTCATCCTCAGCTTGGGACACCAGTACGTGACAGTGCTCTGCTGCAGCACACACCCCGTCTTCACTTCTGCTTGCGACACATACACGTTGAAGCTGCAGGGGCAGGGTTTGGGGGAGGAACCTGATTGACAGGCAGGGTGAGGCAGGGAAAGAGAGAACAGGAGGGAGAGAGGAGGGAAGACTGGCATGGTTGGGGGGGGAACGACCGGGGGAGACAGGGAGTGGACGGAGTGCGGGGTAAAGGGAGCGGGGGAATGGACAGTGGGCGCGCGGGTCATGCGCGGGTCATGCCGTCGTGCAGCACGACGCTATGCGCGCCGCCCGCAACGCAGATGGCCTTTCAACCGCGGTTCGTGCTGGCGACGAGGCAGCCTTCGGTTGTCGCCATTAGCACGAAAAACCACGCGTCGTCGAGTCGTAGCGGGCCTGCGACGCCGACGGGCATCTCGCAGGCCCGCTACGATTCGACGACGTATGCGCTGCGGATCGCGTCGAACGGGAGCGATGCGTTCGGCGAGACTAGAGGAGGTTCGGCGGCGCTCGCGATGGGTTCGATTCCAGACAGCCCGCCGTTTCTGGTGCTGGTGGCGCCATGTAATAGTACAGACGAGAAAGCACGAGAGGAATCTGGCTGAGAGGGAGGGAGAGAGAAACAGGAGGAAAAGAAACAAGAGAGATTAGATTGGAGGGAACGGGACCATCAGAGCTCGCCAGCACAGTCAACGGTGCAGGAACCCTCGCAGCCCTCCAGCACCACATGGTTGCCACATTCTGATTAGCCAACGCTTATGCTGCAGCGAAACTGCCCAATGGAGTGCTGGCACCGCAGGAATCTGTCAAAATGAGGAATGATGATGCCATTGATGTTGGTTGGGGTACATATAACAAACCCTAACTTCTGTACCCCCTAAGACAAACCTCACTACAGGCTACAACATTTGACAGAATCTGAGATTCCCGGTAATTGCGGACAAATTCACACGGAACAAGTCAGAATTGCATTCAGTGGTAGTTTCATTACAACGTTGTGGAATCAGTGTACTTGGGAAAAAAAGTCTGAAATTTCAGTGTGGCCTAACAAAAAAGGCTAAAAGATCAGTCCCACAAAAATCCCAACACTGATTTTTCAGTGTAGGTAAAAAAACGACTGCCAAAATCAGGAATTTCAGGGTTTTTTTCCTGATATCTGAGGCCCTGATAGTGAGCGAGAATGAATGCATTGAACAGAGAAGTGGGTACAAATGCTACCCCTGATTTGGGTTGTACCCCCTATAAGCTAACCCATTACAGCCTATACAGCACAAGCATTATTATAGTTGGACAGTATTGTGGCGAAGTTCAGCTTACGATAGGTGCTCTGATTGGTGGAGGCATTCCTGGATCCCTATAGGCATAGGAAAAATCTTCGAACGACCTGAATGTTGTTGCATATTCGAGTGACCCATGCTCAAATACACATACCAGAGCATTTCCAGCTCGGTTCGTGCTTACCACAACTTTGGCGCCTGCAATGACGGCTGTGCCTGCCGACAAATGCTAAGGAAGCGCGTGGATCACTATAGGCGTAGGGAAAACCATCGAACAACCTGAACGTTCGGGTGGCCCATGCTCAAATACACCTACCTGAGCACTTTTAGCTTGGTTCGCGCGCACAGAAAAGTTCGGCGCCTGCGATGACGGCCGTGTCTGCCGACAAATGCTAAGGAAACGCATGCATCCATATAGGCGTAGGGTAGGGAAAAACATCAAACGACCTTAACGTTGTTGCATATTCGGGTGGCGCACGCTCAAACACACCTACCAGAACACTTTATGCTTGGTTCGCGCGCACAGAAAGCTCGGCGCCTGCGATGACGGCTGTCTCCGTCGACAAATGCTAAGGAACTGTCGAAGATAGTAGGCAGAAATTTAGAACATGAAAGAGGGTTTGCACTAGGAGGCAATTGAGTACATATAGCAAACCTAAATTGGGCTATACTCGCTATAGAGTACCCCACTGCAGGCTAGACAAATACAACGTTCTGACACACCCCCATAGCCAAAGTGGGGTGTAATCAGCACAATAAGCAGGCAGAGCAATAGTTCACAATGATAAGCAAAGCTAGAGGCTATCACAGAGGGCAAGTGAGGAGGAGGAGAGACTGTGGGGGCGAGAAGATGGGAGGCGACGGCTGAAGCTGCAGACACACTGTAGCGGCTGGTTCAGTGACTACCGAAGCAAAGGCCCGGAATTCAGGAGTAACTGGCTCCGCGGCTACACCGAGCGGCTGGAGCAACTGACCCACGGGCGACTGACCACTACCGGAGATTGTAGCCTACGGACTACTGGCGCTGCGGACGACAAGATGACTACCTCCACTCAATCTCCTCCAGCTGTCCCACACCCCTTTCACACACCCCCTGCTGTTCCCCTAGCACTGCTCACACTTCACCCCCCTAGTACCCCTCCAACTGCTCCCACACATCCATCCCCTTCAGTGGCAGCTGCAGCAGTGGGAGACGGAGGAGGAGGAGGAGCAGGGGAGGCCTCACGCACTGTCACCCCCATACTCACCACCCCCAAACCCTAAGACAGGCAGTACGGGGCGGGAGCGGGTGCACGCACGGCAGGGCAGGTGCGTGCGGGCCTGGAGCAGGCTAAACGGGCCGCGCATGGGCCTGGCGCAGGCCGTACGAGCCGCACGCGGGCTATACGGGTCGCGCGCGGGCCTGGCGCAGGTCGTACGGGCCGCGCGCGGGCTGTACGGGACGCGCGCAGGCCTGGCGCAAGCTGTACGGGCCGCGCACGAGCTGTACGGGCCGCGCGCGGGCCTGTGGCAGGTCGTACAGGCCGTGCGCGGGGCCCAGGGGTGCTTCGACGGGCGAAGGGGGGCGACGCGCAGGTCCCCGGGGGTGCTTCGACGGGCGACCGGGGGCGACGCGCGGGTCGACGGGGCAGGAAACCGCTGCGCGCCTCGGGGCGCACGGCCGGGCAGAAAACCGCCGCGCGCCGTGAGCGCTCGGCGAGCAAGCGCCCGGAGCGCGTGGCGGGAAGAAAAAAAACGTCGCGCGCCACGGGGCGCGCGACAGGCAGGACAGCAGCGGAAGCTAATGGTGGGCCCACAGGCCAGGAGCGAAACCGCTCTGATAGCATGTCGAAGATAGTAGGAAAAAAATTAGAACACGAAAGAGGGTTTGCACTAGCAGGCAGTTGAGTACATATAGGAAACCCTAAACTTGGCTGTACTAGCTATAGACAAATACAACATTCTGACAGGAAACGCATGCATCCCTATAGACGTAGGGAAAAGCATCGTACGACCTGAACGTTGTTGCATATTTGGGCGGCCCATGCTCAAATACACCTACCAGAGCACTTTGGGCCTGGTTCGCGCGTGCAAAAGAGTCCGGCGCCTGCAATGATGCCTCTGTCTGTCGACAAATGCTACGGAACCGCATGCATCCCTATAGACGTAGGGAAAATCATCGAACGACTTGAACGTTGTTGCATATTCAGGTGGCCCATGCTCAAATACACCTACTGGATCACTTTGGGCTTGGTTCGAGCGCACAGAAAAGTTCGGCGTCTGCGATGACGGCTGTGTCTGCCAACAAATGCTAAGAAAGCGCATGCATTCCTATAGGCGTGGGGAAAAGCATCAAACGACCTGAACATTGTTGCATATTTGGGTAACCCATGCATACATACACCTACCAGAGCACTTTTGGCTTGGTTCGCAGGGAGAATGGGGCGGGGTGATGGAAAGCGGGAGAATCGGGCGGGGTGATGGAAAGCGGGAGAATGGGGCGGTGTGCTGGAAAGCGGGAGAATGGGGCGGGGTGATGGAAAGCGGGATAATGGGGCAGGGTGATGGAAAGAGGGAGAAGGGGGCGGGAGAATGGGGCGGGGTGATGGAAAACGGGAGAATGGGGCGAGGTGATGGAAAGCGGGAGAATCGGGCGGAGTGATGGAAAGCGGGAGAATGGGGCGGGGTGCTGGAAAGCGGGAGAATGGGGTGGGATGATGGAAAGCAGGAGAATGGGGACGGGGTGATGGAAAGCGGGAGAATCGGGTGGGGTGATGGAAAGCGGGAGAATGGGGCGGGGTGATGGAAAGCGGGAGAATAGGGCGGGGTGCTGGAAAGCGGGAGAATGAGGCGGAGTCATGGAAAGCAAGAGAATGGGGAGGGGTGATGGAAATCGGGAGAATGGGGAGGGGTGATGGAAAGCGGGAGAATGGGGCGGGGTTATGGAAGAGGGAGAATGGGGCGGGGTGATGGAAAGAGGGAGAATGGGGCGGGGTGATGGAAAGAGGGAGAATTGGGCGGGGTGATGGAAAGAGGGAGAATGGGGTGGGGTGATGGAAAAGAGGAGAATGGGGCGGGGTGATGGAAAGAGGGAGAATGGGGCGGGGTGCTGGAAAGCGGGAAAATGGGGCGGGGTGATGGAAAGCGGGAGAATGGGGCGGGGTGATGGAAAGCGGGAGAATGGGGTGGGGTGTTGGAAAGTGGGAGAATGGGGCGGGGTGATGGAAAGAGGGAGAAGGGGGCGGGGTGATGCAAAGCGGAAGAATGGGGCAGGGTGATCGAAAGAGGGAGAATGGGACGGGGTAATGGAAAGAGGGAGAATGGGGCGGGGTGATGGAAAGAGGGAGAATGGGGCGGGGTGATGGAAAGCGGGAGAAAGGGGCAGGGTGATGGAAAGCGGGAGAATGGGGCGGGGTGATGGAAAGCGGGAGAATGGGGCGGGGTGATGGAAGAAGGGAGAATGGGGCGGGGAGATGGAAAGCGGGAGAATGGGGCGGGGTGATGGAAAGGGGGAGAATGGGGCGGGGTGATGGAAAGCGGGAGAATGGGGCGGGGTGATGGAAAGCAGAAGAATGGGGCGGGGTGATAGAAAGCGGGAGAATGGGGCGGGGTGATGGAAAGCGGGAGAATGGGGCGAGTTGATGGAAAGCGGGAGAATGGAGACGGGTGATGGAAAGCGGGAGAATTGGGCGGGGTGATTGAAAGCGGGAGAATGGGGCGGGGTGATGGAAAGCGGGAGAATGGGGAAGGATGATGGAAAGCGGGAGAATGGGGGCGGGTGATGGAAGGAGGGAGAATAGGGCGGGATGATGGAAAGCGGAAAATGGGGCGGGGTGATGGAAAGCGGAAAATGGGGCGGGGTGAAGGAAGGAGGGAGAATGGGGCAAGCTGATGGAAAGCGGGAGAATGGGGCGGGGTGATGGAAAGTGAGAGAATGGTGCAGGGTGGTGGAAAGCGGGAGAATGAGGTGGGGTGATGGGAAGCGGAAGAATGGGGCGGGGTGATGGAAAGCGAGAGAATTGGGCGGGGTGATGGAAAGCGGGAGAATGGGGCGGGGTGATGGAAAGCACGAGAATGGGGCGAGGTGATGGAAAGCGGGAGAAAAGGGCGGGGTGATGGAAAGCGGGAGAATGGGGAAGGATGACGGAAAGCGGGAGAATGGGGCGGGGTGATGGAAGGAGGGAGAATGGGGCGGGATGATGGAAGGAGGGAGAATGGGGCAAGGTGATGCAAAGCGGGAGAATGGGGCGGGGTGATGGAAAGCGGGAGAATGGGGCGGGGTGATGGAAAGCGGGAGAATGGGGCGGGGTGATGGAAGAAGGGAGAATGGGGCGGGGTGATTGAAAGCGGGAGAATGGGGTGGGGTGATGGAAAGCGGGAGAATCGGGCCTGGTGATGGAAAGCGGGAGAATGGGGCGGGGTGATGGAAAGGGGGAGAATGGGGCGGGGTGATGGAAAGCGGGAGAATGGGGCGGGGTGATGGAAAGCGGGAGAATGGGGCGGGGTGATGGAAAGCGGGAGAATGGGGCGGGGTGATGGAAAGCGGGAGAATGGGGCGTGGTGATGGAAAGCGGGAGAATGGGGCGGGGTGATGGAAAGCGGGAGATTGGGGCGGGGTGATGGAAAGCGGGAGAATTGGGCGGGGTGATTGAAAGCGGGAGAATGGGGCGGGGTGATGGAAAGCGGGAGAATGGTGCAGGATGATGGAAAGCAGGAGAATGGGGCGGGGTGATGGAAGGAGGGAGAATGGGGCGGGGTGATGGAAAGCGGGAGAATGGTGGGGGGTGATGGAAAGCGGGTGAATGGGGTGGGGTGAAGGAAGGAGGGAGAATGGGGCGGGGTGATGGAAAGCGGGAGAATGAGGTGGGGTGATGGAAAGCGAGAGAATGGGGCGGGGTGGTGGAAAGCGGGAGAATGGGGTTGGGTGATGGAAAGCGGGAGAATGGGGCGGGTTGATGGAAAGCGAGAGAATTGGGCGGGGTGATGGAAAGCAGGAGAATTGCGCGGGGTGATGGAAAGCACGAGAATGGGGCGAGGTGATGGAAAGCGGGAGAATGAGGCGGTGTGATGGAAAGCTGGAGGATAGGGCGGGGTGATTGAAAGCGGTAGAATGGGGCGGGGTGATGGAATGCGGGAGAATGGGGAAGGATGACGGAAAGCGGGAGAATGGGGCGGGGTGATGGAAAGAGGGAGAATGGGGCGAGGTGATGGAAAGCGGGAGACTGGGGCAGGGTGATGGAAAGCGGGAGAATGGGGCGGGGTGATGGAAAACAGGAGAATGGGGCGGAGTGATGGAAAGCGGGAGAATGGGGCGAGTTGATGGAAAGCGGGAGAATGGAGCGGGGTGATGGAAAGCGGGAGAATGGGGCGAGGTGATTGAAAGCAGGAGAGTGGGGCAGGGTGATGGAAAGCGGGAGAATGGGGCATGATGATGGAAAGTGGGAGAATGGGGCAGGGTGATGGAAAGCGGGAGAATGGGGCGAGTTGATGGAAAACGGGAGAATGGAGCAAGGTGATGGAAAGCGGGAGAATGAGGCGGGCTGATTGAAAGCAGGAGAATGGAGCGGGGTGATGGAAAGCGGGAGAATAGGGCAGGATGATGGAAAGCAGGAGAATGGGGCGGGGTGAAGGAAGGAGGGAGAATGGGGCGGGGTGAAGGAAAGCATGAGAATGGGGCGGGGTGATGGAAAGCGGGAGAATGGGGCAGGGTGAAGGAAGGAGGGAGAATGGGGCGGGGTGATGGAAAGCGGGAGAATGGGGCGGGGTGGTGGAAAGCGGGAGAATGGAGAGGGCTGATGGAAAGCGGGAGAATGGGGCAGGGTGATGGAAAGCGAAAGAACTGGGCGGGGTGATAGAAAGCTTGAGAATGGGGCGGGGTGATGGAAAGCACGAGAATGGGGCGAGGTGATGGAAAGCGGGAGAATGGGGCGGGGTGATGGAAAGCGGGAGGATAGGGCGGGGTGATTGAAAGCGGTAGAATGGGGCGGGGTGATGGAATGCGGGAGAATGGGGAAGGATGCCGGAAAGCGGGAGAACGGGGCGGGGTGATGGAAGGAGGGAGAATGGGGCGGGGTGATGGAAGGAGGGAGAATGGGGCGAGGTGATGGAAAGCGGGAGAATGGGGCGGGGTGATGGAAAGCGGGAGAATGGGGCGGGGTGATGGAAAACGGGAGAATGGGGCAAGGTGATGGAAAGCGGGAGAATGGGGCGAGTTGATGGAAAGCGGGAGAATGGAGCGGGGTGATGGAAAGCGGGAGAATGGGGCGGGGTGATTGAAAGCGGGAGAATGGGGTGGGGTGATGGAAAGCGGGAGAATGGGGCGGGGTGATGGAAAGCTGGAGAATGGGGCGGGGTGATGGAAAGCGGGAAAATGGGGCGGGGTGATGGAAAGCGGGAGAATGGGGCGGGGTGATGGAAAGCGGGAGAATGGGGCGGGGTGATGGAAAGCGGGAGAATGGGGCGGGCTGATGGAAAGCGGGAGAATTTGGCGGGTTAATGGAAAGCGGGAGAATGGGGCGAGTTGATGGAAAGCGGGAGAATGGAGCAAGGTGATGGAAAGCGGGAGAATGGGGCGGGGTGATGGAAGGAGGGAGAATGGGGCGGGGTGATGGAAGGAGGGAGAATGGGGCGGGGTGATGGAAAGCGAGAGAAAGGGGCGGGGTGATGGAAAGCGAGAGAATGGGGCGGGGTGGTGGAAAGCGGGAGAATGGGGTGGGGTGATGGAAAGCGGGAGAATGGGGCGGGGTGATGGAAAGCGAGAGAATTGGGTGGGGTGATGGAAAGCAGGAGAATGGGGCGAGTTGATGGAAAGCGGGAGAATGGAGCGGGGTGATGGAAAGCGGGAGAATAGGGCGGGGTGATTGAAAGCGGGAGAATGGGGCAGGGTGATGGAAAGCAGGAGAATGGGGTAGGATGATGGAAAGCGGGAGAATGGGGCGGGGTGATGGAAAGCAGGAGAATGGGGCGGGGTGATGGAACGAGGGAGAATGGGGCGAGTTGATGGAAAGCGGGAGAATGGAGCGGGGTGATGGAAAGCGAGAGAATGGAACGGGGTGATTGAAAGCGGGAGAATGGTGCAGGATGATGGAAAGCGGGAGAATGGGGCGGGGTGATGGAAGGAGGGAGAATGGGGCGGGGTGATGGAAAGCGGGAGAATGGTGCGGGGTGATGGAAAGTGGGAGAATGGAGCGGGGTGAAGGAAGGAGGGAGAATGGGGCGGGGTGATGGAAAGCGGGAGAATGGGGCGGGGTGATGGAAAGCGAGAGAATGGGGCGGGGTGATGGAAAGCGGGAGAAAGGGGAGGGGTGATGGAAAGCGGGAGAATGGTGCGGGGTGATGGAAAGTGGGAGAATGGGGCAGGGTGATGGAAAGCGGGAGAATGGGGCGGGGTGATGGAAAGCGAGAGAATGGGGCGGGGTGATGGAAAGCGGGAGAATGGGGAGGGGTAATGGAAAGCGGGAGAATGGGGCGGGGTGGTGGAAAGCGGGAGAATGGGGAGGGGTGATGGAAAGCAGGAGAATGGGGCGGGGTGATGGAAAGCGAAAGAATTGGGCGGGACGATAGAAAGCGGGAGAATGGGGCGGGGTGATGGAAAGCACGAGAATGGGGCGAGGTGATGGAAAGCGGGAGAATGGGGCAGGGTGATGGAAAGCAGGAGAATGGGGAGGGGTGATGGAAAGCGGGAGAATGGGGCGGGGTGGTGGAAAGCGGGAGAATGGGGAGGGGTGATGGAAAGCAGGAGAATGGGGCGGGGTGATGGAAAGCGAAAGAATTGGGCGGGACGATAGAAAGCGGGAGAATGGGGCGGGGTGATGGAAAGCACGAGAATGGGGCGAGGTGATGGAAAGCGGGAGAATGGGGCGGGGTGATGGAAAGCGGGAGGATAGGGCGGGGTGATTGAAAGCGGTAGAATGGGGCGGGGTGATGGAAAGCGGGAGAATTGGGAAGGATGACGGAAAGCGGGAGAACGGGGCGGGGTGATGGAAGGAGGGAGAATGAGGCGAGGTGATGGAAGGAGGGAGAATGGGGCGGGGTGATGGAAAGCGGGAGAATGGGGCGGGGTGATGGAGAACGGGAGAATCGGGCGGGGTGATGGAAAGCGGGAGAATGGGGCGAGTTGATGGAAAGCGGGAGAAGGGAGCGGGGTGATGGAAAGCGGGAGAATGGGGTGGGGTGATTGAAAGCGGGAGAATGGGGCAGGGTGATGGAAAGCAGGAGAATGGGGTAGGATGATGGAAAGCGGGAGAATGGGGCGGGGTGATGGTAGGAGGGAGAATGGGGCGGGGTGATGGAAATCGGGAGAATGGGGCAGGGTGATGGAAAGCGGGAGAATGGGGCGGGGTGATGGAAAGCGGGAGAATGGGGCGGGGTGATGGAAAGCGGGAGAATGGGGCGGGGTGATGGAAAGCAGGAGAATGGGGCGGGGTGATGGGAAGCGGGAGAATGGGGCAGGGTGATGGAAAGCGGGAGAATGGGGCGGGGTAATGGAAAGCGGGAGAATGGGGCGAGTTGATGGAAAGCGGGAGAATGGAACAAGGTGATGGAAAGCGGGAGAATGGGGCGGGGTGATGGAAGGAGGGAGAATGGGGCGGGGTGATGGAAGGAGGGAGAATGGGGCGGGGTGATGGAAAGCGGGAGAATGGGGCGGGGTGATGGAAAGCGGGAGAATCGGGCGGGATGATGGAAAGCGGGAGAATGGGACGGGGTGATGGAAAGCGGGAGAATGAGGCGGGCTGATGGAAAGCGGGAGAATGGGGCGGGTGATGGAAAGCAGGAGAATGGGGCGGGGTGATGGAAAGCGGGAGAATGGGGCGGGGTGATGGAAAGTGGGAGAATGGGGCGGGGTGATGGAAAGCGGGAGAATGGGGCGGGGTGATGGAAAGCGGGAGAATGGGGCGGGATAATGGAAAGCGGGAGAATGGGGCGGGGTGATGGAAGGAGGGAGAATGGGGCAGGGTGATGGGAGGAGGGAGAATGGGGCGGGGTGATGGGAGGAGGGAGAATGGGGCGGGTTGATGGAAAGCAGGAGAATGGTGCGGGGTGATAAAAAACGGGAGAATGGGGCGGGGTGATGGAAAGCGGTAGAAGGGGGCAGGGTGATGAAAAGCGGGGGAATGGGGCGGTGTGATGGAAGGAGGGAGAATGGGGCAGGGTGATGGGAGGAGGGAGAATGGGGCGGGGTGGTGGGAGGTGGGAGAATGGGGCGGGGTGATGGAAAGCGGGAGAAGGGGGCGGGGTGATGGAAAGCGGGGGAATGGGGCGGGGTGATGGAAAGTGGGAGAATGGGGCGGGGTGATGGAAGGAGTGAGGATGGGGCGGGGTGATGGAAAGCGGGAGAATGGGTCGGGGTGATGGAAGGAGGGAGAATGGGGCGGGGTGATGGAAGGAGGAAGAATAGGGCGGGGTGATGGAAAGCGGGAGAATGGGGTGGGGTGATGGAAGGAGGGAGAATGGGGCGAGGTGATGGAAGGAGGGAGAATGGGACGGGGTGATGGAAAGCGGGAGAATGGGGCGGAGTGATGGATAGCGGGAGAATGGGGCGGGGTGATGGAAAGCGAGAGAATGGGGCAGGGTGATGGAAAGCAGGAGAATGGGGGGGGGTTGCTGGAAAGCGGGAGAATGGGGCAGGGTGATGGAAGGAGGGAGAATGGGGCGGGGTGATCGAAAGCGGGAGAATGGGGCGGGGTGATGCAAGGAGGGAGAATGGGGCGGGGTGATGCAAAGCGGGAGAATGGGGCAGGATGATGGAAAGCGGGAGAATGGGGCGGGGTGATGGAAGGAGGAAGAATGGTGCGGGGTGATGGAAGGAGGGAGAATGGAGCGAGGTGATGGAAGAAGGGAGAGTGGGGCGGGGTGATGGAATGTGGGAGAATGGGGCGGGGTGATGAAAAGCGGGAAAATGGGGAGGGGTGATGGAAAGCGTGAGAATGGGGTGGGGTGATGGAAAGCGGGAGAATATGGCGGGGTGATGGAGCGGGAGAATGGGGCGGGGTGATGGAAAGCGGGAGAATGGGGCGGGGTGATGGAAGGAGGGAGAATGGGGAGAGGTGATGGAAAGAGGGAGAATGGGGCGGGGTAATGGAAAGTGGGAGAATGGGGCGGGGTGATGGAAAGCGGGAAAATGGGGCGTGGTGATGGAAAGCGGGCCATAGAGATAGGCGCTCATAGACATAGGCGCCCATAGCGATAAGCGCTCGTAGAGATAGGCACCCATAGAGATAGGCACCCACAGAGATAGGCGCCCCTAGAGATAGGCGCCTCTAGAGATAGGCGCCCATAGAGATAGTCGCCCCTAGAGATATGCGCCCCTAGAGATAGGCGCCCCTAGAGATAGGCGCCCCTAGAGATAGGCGCCCCTAGAGATAGGCGCCCCTTGAGGTAGGCGCCATTAGAGAGAGGCACTCCTAGAAATAGGCGCCCATAGAGACAGGCGCCCCTAGAGATAGTCGCCCATAGAGATAGGCGCCCCTAAAGATAGGCGCCCCTAGAGATAGGCACCCCTAGAGATAGGCACCCCTAGAGATAGGCACCCATAGAGATATCGCCCCTAGAGAGAGGCGCCCCTAGAAAAAGGCGCCCATAGAGATAGGCACCCCTAGAAAAAGGCGCCCACAGAGGTAGTCGCCCATAGAGGTAGGCGCCGCTAGAGTTAGGCGCCCCTAGAGATAGGCGCCCCCTGAGAAAGGCGCCCCTAGAGATAGGCGCCCCTTGAGATAGGCGCCACTAGAGAGAGGCGCCCCTAGAAATAGGCGCCCATAGAGAAAGGCGCCCCAGGAGATAGGCGCCCATAGAGATAGGCGCACCTAGAGATAGGCGCCCCTAGAGATAGGCGCCCCTATAGATAGGCACCCCTAGAGTTAGGCGCCCATAGAGATAGGCGCCCCTAGAGACAGGCGCCCATAGAGATTGGCGCCCCTAGAGATAGGCGCCCCTAGAGATAGGCACCCCTAGAGATAGGCACCCCTAGAGATAGGCGCCCATAGAGATATCGCCCCTAGAGATAGGCGCCCCTAGAGAAAGGCGGCCATAGAGATAGGCACCCCTAGAGAAAGGCGCCCATAGAGGCAATCACCCATAGAGGTAGGCGACGCTAGAGATAGGCGCCCCTACAGATAGGCACCCCTTGAGATAGGCGCCCCTATAGATAGGCGCCCCTTGAGATAGGCGCCACTAGAGAGAGGCGCCCCTAGAAATAGGCGCCCATAGAGACAGGCGCCCCTAGAGATAGGCGCCCCTAGAGAAAGGCGCCCATGGAGATAGGCGCCTATAGAGATAGGCAACCATAGAGATAGGCGCCCCTAGAGATAGGCGCCCCTAGAGATAAGCGCCCATAGAGATAGGCGCCCATATAGATAGGCGCCCCTAGAGATAGGCGCCCATAGAGATAGGCGCCCATAGAGATAGGCGCCCCTAGAGATAGCCACCCCTAGAGATAGGCACCCCTAGAGATAGGCTCCCCTAGAGATAGGCGCCCCCAGAGATAGGCACCCCTAGAGATGGGAGCCCATAGAGATGAGCGCCCATAGAGTTAGGCGCCCCTAGAGATTGGCGCCCCTTGAGATAGGCGCCCCTTGAGATCGGCGTCCATAGAGATAGGCGCCGCTAGAGATAGGCACCCCTAGAGATAGGCGCCCCTAGAGATAGGCGCCCATAGAGATAGGCGCCCATAGAGATAGGCGCCCACAGAGATAAGCGCCCATAGAGATAGGCGCCCCTAGAGATAGGTACCCATAGAGATAGGCACCCACAGAGATAGGCGCCCCCTAGAGATAGACGCCCCTAGAGATAGGCGCGCATAGAGATAGGCGCCCATAGAGATAGGCGCCCACAGAGGTAGGCGCCACTAGGGATAGGCGCCCCTAGAGATAGGCGCCCCTAGAGATAGGCGCCCCTACAGATAGGTGCCCCTAGAGATAGGCGCCCATAGAGATAGGCGCCCACCGAGATAGGCGCCCCTAGAGATAGGCGCCCCTAGAGATAGGCGCCCCTAGAGATAGGCGCCCCTACAGATAGGCGCCCCTAGAGATTGGCGCCCCTAGAGATAGGCGCCCATAGAGATAGGCACCCATAGAGATAGGCGCCCCTAGAGATATGCGCCCCTAGAGATAGGTGCCCCTAGACATAGGCGCCTAAAGAGATAGGCGCCCATCGAGATAGGCGCTCTTAGAGATAGGCGCCCCAAGAGATAGGCGCCCATAGAGATAGGCGCCCATAGAGATAGGCGCCCCTTGAGATAGTCACCCATAGAGATAGGCGCCCCTAGAGATAGGCGCCCATAGAGATCGGCGCCCCTAAAGATAGACGCCCCTACAGATAGCCGCCCCTAGAGATAGGCACCCCTAGAGATACATGCCCCTAGAGATAGGCGCCCCTGGAGATAGGCGCCCCTGGAGATAGGCGCCCCTAGAGATAGGTGCCCAAAGAGATAGGCGCCCGTAGAGATGGGCACCCATAGAGATAGGCCCCTTTAGAGATAGGCGCCCCTGGAGATAGGTGCCCCTGGAGATAGGCGCCCCTAGAGATAGGTACCCCTAGAGATAGGCGCTCGTAGAGATGGGCACCCATAGAGATAGTCGCCCATAGAGATAGGCGCCCATAGAGATAGGCGCCCATAGAGATAGGCGCCCATAGAGATAGGCGCTCCTAGAGAGAGGCGCCCATAGAGATAGGCGCCCCTAGAGAGAGGCGCCCATAGAGATAGGCGCCCCTAGAGAGAGGCGCCCCTAGAGATAGGCGCCCCTAGAGATTGGCGCCCCTAGAGATAGGCGCACCTAGAGAGGCGCCCCTAGAGATAGGCGTCCATAGAGACAGGCGCCCCTAGAGATAGGCGCCCATAGTGATAGGCGCCCATAGAGATAAGCCCCCCTAGAGATAGGCGCACCTAAAGATAGGCGCCCCTAGAGTAAGGCGCCCCTAGAGATAGGCGCCCGTCGAGATAGGCGCCCCTAGAGATAGACGCCCCTAGAGATAGGCGCCCATAGAGATAGGCACCCCTAGAGACAGGCGCCCCTAGAGATAGGCGCCCCTAGAGATAGGCGCACCTAGAGATAGGCGCCCCTAGAGATAGGCGCCCCTAGAGATAGGCGCCCCTAGAGATCGGCTCCCCTAGAGATAGTCGCCCCTAGAGATAGGCGCCCATAGAGATATGCGCCCCTAGAGATAGGCGCACCTAGAGATAGGCGCCAATAGAGAAAGGCGCCCCTAGAGATATGCGCCCCTAGAGATAGGTGCCCCTAGAGATAGGCGCGCATAGAGATAGGCGCCCATAGAGATAGGCGCCCATAGAGATAGGCGCCCAAAGAGATAGGCGCCCATAGAGATAGGCGCCCCTAGAGACACGCGCTGCTAGAGAGAGGCGCCCATAGAGATAGGCGCCCCTAGAGACACGCGCCCCTAGAGAGAGGCGCCCATAGAGATAGGCGCCCCTAGAGAGAGGCGCCCCTAGAGATAGGCGCCCTTCGAGATAGACGCCCCTAGAGATAGGCGCCCATAGAGATAGGTGCCCTTAGAGACAGGCGCCCCTAGAGATAGGCACCCCTAGAGATAGGCGCACCTAGAGATAGGCGCCCCTAGAGATAGGCGCCCCTAGAGATATGCGCCCCAAGAGATCGGCGCCCCTAGAGATAGTCGCCCCTAGAGATAGGCGTCCAAAGAAATAGGCGCCCCTAGAGATAGGCGCACCTAGAGATAGGTGCCCCTAGAGATAGGCGCGCATAGAGATAGGCGCCCATAGAGATAGGCGCCCATAGAGATAGGCGCCCAAAAAGATAGGCGCCCATAGAGATCCATAGAGATAGGCGCCCATAGAGATAGGCGCCCATATAGACAGGCGACCCTAGAGAGAGGCACCCATAGAGATAGGCGCCCCTAGAGAGAGGCGCCCATAGAGATAGGCGCCCCTAGAGAGAGGCGCTCCTAGAGATAGGTTCTCCTAGAGATAAGCGCCCCTAGAGATAGGTGCCCATAGAGATAGGAGCCCCTAGAGATAGGTGCCCCTAAAGATAAGCGCCCCTAGAGATAGGCGCCCCTAGAGATATGCGCTCATAGAGATAGACGCCCAAAAAGATAGGCGCCCCTAGAGATAGGCACCCTTAGAGATAGGCGCCCCTAGAGATAGGCGCCCCTAGAAATAGGCTCCCCTAGAGATAGGCGCCCCTAGAGATAGGCGCCCCTATAGATAGACGCCCCTAGAGATAGGAGCCCCTAGAGATAGGCGCTCCTAGCGATAAGCGCCCCTAGAGATAGGCGCCCCTTGAGATAGGAGCCCCTAGATATAGGCGCCCCTAGAGATAGGCTCCCTTAGAGATAGGCGCCCCTAGAGATAGGCGCCCCTAGAGATAGGCGCCCCTAGAGATAGGCGCCTCTAGAGATCGGCTCCCCTAGAGATAGTCGCCCCTAGAGATAGGCGCCCATAGAGATATGCGCCCCTAGAGATAGGCGCACCTAGAGATAGGCGCCAATAGAGAAAGGCGCCCCTAGAGATATGCACCCCTAGAGATAGAAGCCCCTAGAGATGGGCGCGCATAGAGATAGGCGCCCATAGAGATAGGCGCCCATAGAGATAGGCGCCCACAGAGATAGGCGCCCATAGAGATCCATAGAGATCGGCGCCCATAGAGATAGGCGCCCCTAGAGACACGCGCTGCTAGAGAGAGGCGCCCATAGAGATAGGCGCCCCTAGAGACACGCGCCCCTAGAGAGAGGCGCCCATAGAGATAGGCGCCCCTAGAGAGAGGCGCCCCTAGAGATAGGCGCCCTTCGAGATAGACGCCCCTAGAGATAGGCGCCCATAGAGATAGGCGCCCTTAGAGACAGGCGCCCCTAGAGATAGGCACCCCTAGAGACACCTAGAGATAGGCGCCCCTAGAGATAGGCGCCCCTAGAGATATGCGCCCCAAGAGATCGGCGCCCCTAGAGATAGTCGCCCCTAGAGATAGGCGTCCAAAGAAATAGGCGCCCCTAGAGATAGGCGCACCTAGAGATAGGTGCCCCTAGAGATAGGCGCGCATAGAGATAGGCGCCCATAGAGATAGGCGCCCATAGAGATAGGCGCCCAAAAAGATAGGCGCCCATAGAGATCCATAGAGATAGGCGCCCATAGAGATAGGCGCCCATATAGACAGGCGACCCTAGAGAGAGGCACCCATAGAGATAGGCGCCCCTAGAGAGAGGCGCTCATAGAGATAGGCGCCCCTAGAGAGAGGCGCTCCTAGAGATAGGTGCTCCTAGAGATAAGCGCCCCTAGAGATAGGTGCCCATAGAGATAGGAGCCCCTAGAGATAGGTGCCCCTAAAGATAAGCGCCCCTAGAGATAGGCGCCCCTAGAGATATGCGCTCATAGAGATAGACGCCCAAAAAGATAGGCGCCCCTAGAGATAGGCACCCCTAGAGATAGGCGCCCCTAGAGATAGGCGCCCCTAGAAATAGGCTCCCCTAGAGATAGGCGCCCCTAGAGATAGGCGCCCCTATAGATAGACGCCCCTAGAGATAGGAGCCCCTAGAGATAGGCTCTCCTAGCGATAAGCGCCCCTAGAGATAGGCGCCCCTTGAGATAGGAGCCCCTAGATATAGGCGCCCCTAGAGATAGGCTCCCTTAGAGATAGGCGCCCCTAGAGATAGGCGCCCCTAGAGATAGGCGCCCCTAGAGATAGGCGCCCCTAGAGATCGGCTCCCCTAGAGATGGTCGCCCCTAGAGATAGGCGCCCATAGAGATATGCGCCCCTAGAGATAGGCGCACCTAGAGATAGGCGCCAATAGAGAAAGGCGCCCCTAGAGATATGCGCCCCTAGAGATAGAAGCCCCTAGAGATAGGCGCGCATAGAGATAGGCGCCCATAGAGATAGGCGCCCATAGAGATAGGCGCCCACAGAGATAGGTGTCAGAACTTATAGCTTACTTGTTTCTGTAGGCTATAGTGGGGTATCCCATAGGGGGTACAACCCAATTAGGGTTTCCTATTTGTACTCACTTCATTCATAGTCATTTCACTTCTCGTTCGTACTTTCTCATGGAATCAGAGCAGGTCCCTTCCTAGGGCCTGTTCCTAGGGCCCACCGAAGCGCGCCCCGAGGCGCACATTTTTTTTAGCGACCCTCTGAGTCGCCCCTCCAGTCGTGCTCCCGCTTAGGCCCCTCGTCGGCCCCCGCTTAGGCCCCTCGTCGGCCCCGCTTAGGCCCCTCGTCGGCCCCGCTTAGGCCCCTCGTCGGCCCCTGCTTAGGCCCCTCGTCGGCCCCGCGTACCCCTCGTCGGCCCCGCGTAGGCCCCGCGTACCCCTCGTCGGCCCCGCGTACCCCTCGTCGGCCCCGCGTAGGCCCCGCGTACCCCTCGTCGGCCCCACGTAGGCCCCGCGTAGGCCCCGCGTACCCCTCGTCGGCCCCGCGTAGGCCCCGCGTACACCTCGTCGACCCCGCGTACACCTCGTCGACCCCGCGTACACCTCGTCGACCCCGCGTACACCTCGTCGACCCCGCGTAGGCCCCGCGTACACCTCGTCGACCCCGTGTAGGCCCCGCCCAGGCCCCGTCTCGGCCCCGTGTCGGGGCCGCGTAGGCTCCGTCGGCCCCGCTTAGGCCCCTCTTCGGCCCCGCGCCGGCCCCACCTACGCCCTGTCGGCCCCGCGCTGGCCCCGCTTAGGCCCGCCACCGGCCCCTGCTACAGCCCGCCGCGTCGGCCCCGCCTACAGCCCCCCGGCCCGCCTAGGCCCCACTTCGGCCCCTCGTCGGCCCCACTACAGCCCGCACCGGCCCCTGCTACAGCCCGCCCCCGGCCCCGCTACAGCCGCCACCGGCCCCTGCTACAGCCCGCCACCGGCCCTGCTACAGCCGCCACCGGCCCCTGCTACAGCCCGCCGCCGGCCCTGCTACAGCCCGCCGCCGGCCCTGCTACAGCCCGCCACCGGCCCTGCTGCAGCCCGCCGTGCTGCACGTGAGCAGCCCCAGCAGCCCGCGCCGCCCGTGAGCCCCTACGCCACCCGAGCCGCGCGAGCCGCCCGAGCCGCCCGAGCCGCCCGAGCCGCTCGAGCCGCCCGAGCCGCCCGAGCCGCCTGAGCCACGCGAGCCACCTGAGGAGCCGTGCTGCTGTCCCTGAGCTGTGTTCCTCTGCTGCTGACCTACCCGACTCCTCCAGCCCGGTGAGACTTTCAGCTGCTGCCATGGCCACCCCCAATGTTCTTACTTTTGACGCTGAGGGGAGGGCCATTGACTTTGCCGTCTGGATTGAAGACCTACAGCTGTACTTACTGTGTGATGCGATAGATGAGGTCTCTCTCTCTGACTTTGTCTCTGGAGCTGTCCCTGCCCCGCCTGCTGATGCTGACTCTGCCGTTCGCTCCAAGTGGGCGACCCGCGATGCTGCTGCACGTCTTGCTGTGCGTCGCCACCTCCCTTCCTCTGAGCGTGCCCACTTTAGTCAGTGCAAGACCGCTCAGGCCTTGTACGACGCTGTAGTTGCACGCTACTCCTCCCCTTCCTCCGCTACCCTTAGCCGCCTCATGCTACCGTTTCTCTTCCCTGACCTCGCTTCCTTTCCCACTGTCGCTGACCTCGTTACCCACCTCCGTGCTAGTGACGCTCGCTACCGCGCTGCCCTTCCTGCTGAGTTCCGCGCCGCAAACCCTCCTCCCATGTATATCACTCTCTACTTTCTCGTCACCCGTCTTCCCGAGTCCCTTCGTGTCGTTAGGGACCAGTTTCTCTCTGTCTGTCCCACCACCCTCACTGTCGACCTCCTTGAGGAGTCCCTGCTAGCGGCTGAGAAGAGTATAGTCGCTGTAGGGGCCTCTAGGGGTGACCCTCGCACCCCCATCTTTGAGGGGTGTTCTCCTTCCCCCCTGCTGCCCTCTGTCGCCTCTGCTGCTACGGCCGACCTCGCTGGTTTTGAGTCGGTCGGTGCGGCGTCTGCCCCCAGCGGCAGACGCCGCTCTGGCAAGGGCAAGGGGGGCAAGGGAGCGGGTGGATCTAGAGGAGGCAGTGGCGGAGGAGGTGGGGGTGGCGGGGGGAGTGGGGGTGGCGGTGGAGGTGGTGTCGGGAGTGGAGGTACTAGTGGCGGCGGTGGAGGCGGAGGTGGCGGCGGAGGTGGTAGCGGAGGAGGCGGTGGGAGCGGTGGGAGCGACGGTCCTGGTGGGGGAGGTGGCGGTGGAGACGGGGGTGGCGGTGGAGGCGGGGGTGGTGATCGAGGCGGGGGTCGGAGTGGCTCGTCCCAGCGGAGCAGCTCTGGGGGTGGTCAGCGCCAGCAGCAGCAGCAGCAGCAGCAGCAGCAGCAGCAGCAGCCGCAGCAGCAGCAGCGCTCTCGCACCGTCCCCGGCCCTCAGCAGCTCCGTGAGTGGTACTTGCAGCGTCAGCGCGGTGGTGCTCTTGGTCCCTGCCCCTATGTTCTTCGCACCGGTGACCGTGCGGGGGAGAGGTGTGGAGGCGCCCACACAGCCCGTCGCTGCTTTGGCCGCCTGACCGACGCCTGGCGTCAGCAGTTTCCGGAGGCCGCTGAGATCCCCCGCTGGGGAGAGCTGTCTAGGGCTGGAGTAGCTATTTATGATCTTGACTTTGATGCTATTCTCTCTGCTATGTATGCTGTGACTGGTAGTGATGAGGATGACTGTTACCGGTGTTTCCCGCCCGACCCGGGCATTGGTACTGCCGCGTCAGGTACTAGTGAGGCTGCTGCTCTAGGTGCCAGTGCGTCTGTGCTCTCAGGTGCTGGTGAGTCTGCCCTCTCAGGTACTGTGTCGGCTTCGGCCTCTCACACCTTCACCCTTGACTCTGGAGCGTCTCGCTCCTTCTTTAGGGACCGCACCACTCTCACGCCGCTGAGTCGGCCGGTTGCAGTGTCCCTGGCTGACCCCTCTGGGGGGCCGGTCCTGGCTCGCTTCTCCACTGTCCTCCCGTGTCCGGCGGCCCCCTCTGGCACCCTGACTGGTCTCTACCTCCCCTCGTTCTCGACGAACTTGGTGAGTGGTGCTGACCTCCAGGATGCGGGTGTCCACCAGTTCACCCCTGCTCGTCAGCGGGTGACCCACTGCACGGAGGAGGATACAGGTCGCCACCTGGCTACGTTTACACGTCGGCCAGGGTCGAGCCTGTACACACTGACCACTGCTTCTCCTCCAGGTGCTGAGTCTGGTAGGGTCCCTTCGTCTGGTCAGGTGTTTGCTGCAGCGTCCAGGTCTGGTCCTGAGTCTGCCCCCTGCTCGTGTCGTCGTCTGTCTCACGAGACCCTCCTCTGGCACCACCGCCTTGGCCACCCCTCTCTGCTTCGGCTCAGAGGCATGGCCTCGCGAGTCCTTGTGTCTGGTCTTCCCCGGTCTCTCCCTCCCCTTCCTCCGGGCCCTGGCCCCACCTGTGTCCCCTGTGTCGAGGGGCGCCAGCGTGCTGCCCCTCACTCCTCCCAGTTTCCTCCCACAGAGGCCCCATTGCAGACGCTTCACATGGACGTGTGGGGCCGAGCCCGTGTCCGTGGACAGGGTCAGGAGCGCTACTTCCTGCTGGTGGTTGACGACTACTCGCGTTACACCACAGTCTTCCCCTTGCGCAGCAAGGGTGAGGTCACTGAGGTGCTGATCGACTGGATCCGCGCAGCTCGTCTCCGGCTTCGGAGGAGCTTTGGCTCTGACTTCCCTGTTTTGCGTCTGCACTCGGACAGAGGTGGAGAGTTCTCCTCCGGCCTCCTGAGTGCCTACTGTCGTGTGCGAGGCATCCGTCAGACCTTCACGCTTCCGGACTCACCGCAGCAAAATGGGATTGCTGAGCGCTGCATTGGCATGGTCATGGACGTCGCTCGTACGTCCATGATGCATGCGGCTGCTCCCCATTTTCTGTGGCCGTTTGCGGTCAGGTACGCTGCGCACCAGATCAACCTCCACCCCAGGGTCTCTCGACCGGAGACCTCCCCAGCCCTACTGTGGACGGGGAAGGTTGGCGATGCGTCGGCGTTCCGGGTCTGGGGATCTCGGGCGTTTGTTCGCGACCTGTCTGCAGACAAGCTGTCCCCTCGTGCTTCTCCCTGCGTCTTCCTGGGGTTCCCCCCCGACGCCCCTGGGTGGCAGTTTTACCACCCCACCTCTCGACGTGTTCTGTCCTCCCAGGACGTCACGTTCGACGAGTCGGTTCCCTACTACCGCCTCTTCCCCTACCGCACTCCGTCCCTCCCCCCACCCCCGCTCTTCTTGGTACCAGGTCCCCCCCCGGTAGTCCCCCTCCCCCCTCAGGGTCCTGCCCCTTCAGGTGTGTCCCAGGTAGACGCGGTCGAGCCTGTCGAGGTCACTGGTGACTCTGGTACTGCTGCGGGAGCTGAGCCTGGGGGTGCGGAGTCTGGGGGTGCTGAGCCTGGAGGTGCCGAGTCTGGGGGTGCTGAGCTTGGGGGTGCTGAGCCTGGGGGTGCTGTGCCTGGGGGTGCTGAGCCTGGAGGTGCCGAGTCTGGGGGTACTGTGCCTGGGGGTGCTGGGCCTTGGGGTGCTGAGCCTGGGGGTGCCGTGCCTAGAGGTGCTGTGTCTAGGGGTGCTGAGCCCGAGGGTGCTGTGCCTGGGGGTGCTTCGTCTCGCCGGGGGCCACTCTCCCCACAGGAGCTGCGTGAGTGGTTTGCCGGGCGCTGGAGGCGTGCTGCTGGTGCTGGTGGTTCTTCGGCTGCAGAGGGCACTGCTGCTGCGCGCCCCGCCGGTGCTCGTACTGTGGGTGCTGGAGCTGCTGAGTCTGAGAGTTCTCCTGGAGCTGGTCCTGCTGCGGGTGTTGGCGCTGAGCCTGCCGTTGGCGGCCCGACTGACAGTGCTCCTGGTGCTGCGGCTGGAGGTTCTGGAGCTTCTGGTGGTGCTGCTGGAGGTGCTGCTGGAGTGGGTGCTCCTGCCGGGGCTGCTGGTGCTGTTCCTGCTGTTTCTAGCGTCGCCACGCGGCCCTGACCGTACTTCGTTCCGCTCCTGCAGCAGGTTCTTGGTCTTACACCTCCTCCTCCTCCCTTAGAGGGTCCGCAGCCTGTCCGGTCACAGCCACAGCTACAGCCTGCCTCCCCTTTGCCTGCTCCTTCTCCCTACGCTGGTCCGACTGGTGGTCTTACTGAGCGTCGTGAGCCTGCGTCTCGTCCTGTGTCGCCTGTTCGTACTGAGCGCGCTAGTGGTCGCGGGTCGCGTCAGCGTCCTCCTCCTGTCCCTGGCACGCACCGGATGTCACTGCGTCCGTCCACTGCTCCTCTGCGTGCCCCTTTGCCTTCTCCTCCTGCTTCCTCTCTTCCTGCTCTTGCCGACCCGGAGTCGGACGCCCTCCGTGCTGCCAGTCCTACTGTCACGCGTCTCCTGGCTACTGCTGTCACTGACCCTTCCTTCGAGTCGTCTGCTGCGGCTGCCCTTGTCACTGAGCTTGTCGACTTTGCTGCGCGCTGTCGTCTAGACTACGCTGCTCGTCTTGTCACTGAGTCTGAGTCCGCCTGTCCTCCGTCCGTTGGGGGTGAGTGTGCCCTTGGCACGGACGTCCTTGAGGACAGGCAGGAGGAGTACCAGTGTCTGGCCGCCGCTTCACCTCGTCTCGCGTCTGTACTGCTAGCCCCTGAGGGAGACCCGGATGCACCAGACATCCCGACTCCGCGCTCTTACGCGGAGGCGATAGAGGGTCCCTACTCCTCTCAGTGGCAGGCAGCTATGGATGCAGAGATGGCTTCCTGGAAGTCCACAGGCACCTACGTTGACGCTGTTCCCCCTCCTGGGGCAAACATCGTCAGTGGCATGTGGATTTTCAGGGTGAAGCGGCCGCCGGGTTCTCCGCCTGTCTTCAAGGCGCGTTACGTGGCTCGTGGCTTCAGTCAGCGGCAGGGGGTTGACTACTTTCAGACCTTCTCCCCCACCCCGAAGATGACCACTCTTCGGGTTCTGCTACACGTTGCTGCTCACCGTGACTACGAGCTGCACTCTCTCGACTTCAGCACTGCTTTCTTGCAGGGCAGCCTGCACGAGGAGATCTGGCTACGTCGCCCACCTGGCTTCACTGGGTCTTTCCCTCCTGGTACCCAGTGGAGTCTCCGGCGTCCAGTCTACGGTCTCCGCCAGGCGCCACGTGAGTGGCATGACACACTGAGGACTACGCTCGCGACACTTGGGTTTGCTCCTTCCACTGCCGACCCGTCGCTGTTTCTGCGCACCGACACCTCTCTGCCGCCGTTCTACATCCTCGTGTACGTCGACGACTTGGTCTTTGCCACAGCTGACACTGCTGGACTCGCCTACGTGAAGTCCGAGCTGCAGAAGAGACACACGTGCACTGACCTGGGTGAACTGCGCAGCTACCTTGGCTTGCAGATCACCCGGGACAGAGCACGCCGCACCATTACCCTGACTCAGTCACACATGGTGCACCAGGTCCTTCAGCGCTTCGGCTTCACGTACTCCTCGCCTCAGGCCACTCCTCTGCCTACTCGCCACTCGCTCTCAGCTCTGCCTTCGGATGAGTCCGTAGAGTCGAGTGGTCCGTATGCAGAGCTTGTTGGCTGCCTCATGTACCTGATGACCTGCACACGACCTGACCTCGCATACCCTCTTAGCATTCTCGCACGCTTTGTTGCTCCTGGGAGACACCGACCAGAGCACATGGCTGCAGCGAAGAGGGTGTTGCGCTACTTGTGCAGTACGTCGGGCATGGGGCTAGTGCTTGGAGGGCGCAGACGCTTCTTGGGCTGACGACCAGGCTACGCAGCGGTCGTCACAGGGTTACACCTTCAGCCTTGGTTCTGGCTCTGTCTCGTGGCGGGCTACCCGCTCGTCTTCTGTTCTCGGCTCCAGTTGTGAGGCTGAGATCTACGCTGGGGCTATGGCTGCACAGGAGTTACGCTGGCTCACCTACCTGCTGACCGACCTTGGAGAGCAGCCTCGTTCTCCTCCAGTCCTGTACGTAGACAACAAGGCCATGCTGACCTTGTGTCGAGAGTAGCGATTGGAGCACAGAACGAAGCACATTGCTCTTCGCTACTTTCTTGCTCGTGAGCTACAGCAGCGTGGACAGCTGCGACTTGCGTACGTGGCCTCTGAGGCCAACACTGCTGATGTCTTCACCAAGGCACTTGCGCCTTGTGATCATCAGCGTTGCTGCACGCAGTTGGGTCTTGTGCCTGTCTTGCCTCACTTGCTCTCCTCTTGACCTTGCTTGTACTTTCGTATATATATACTCTTGCTCTTGTATATCTCTATATATGATCTTGCATGTGAACTGGCCTTGTGGCCTTTGAACTTGTGCTCGGAATGCGTGGTGACTTTGTGATCCACCCTGAGCTTTGCTTTGCTTTGCTTGACCGGTCTTGTGACCCCTTGTTCTCCCCCACTTGGCCTATGGGGGTGTGTCAGAACTTATAGCTTACTTGTTTCTGTAGGCTATAGTGGGGTATCCCATAGGGGGTACAACCCAATTAGGGTTTCCTATTTGTACTCACTTCATTCATAGTCATTTCACTTCTCGTTCGTACTTTCTCAATAGGCGCCCATAGAGATCCATAGAGATTGGCGCCCATAGAGATAGGCGCCCCTAGAGACACGCGCTGCTAGAGAGAGGCGCCCATAGAGATAGGCGCCCCTAGAGACACGCGCCCCTAGAGAGAGGCGCCCATAGAGATAGGCGCCCCTAGAGAGAGGCGCCCCTAGAGATAGGCGCCCTTCGAGATAGACGCCCCTAGAGATAGGCGCCCATAGAGATAGGCGCCCTTAGAGACAGGCGCCCCTAGAGATAGGCACCCCTAGAGATAGGCGCACCTAGAGATAGGCGCCCCTAGAGATAGGCGCCCCTAGAGATATGCGCCCCAAGAGATCGGCGCCCCTAGAGATAGTCGCCCCTAGAGATAGGCGTCCAAAGAAATAGGCGCCCCTAGAGATAGGCGCACCTAGAGATAGGTGCCCCTAGAGATAGGCGCGCATAGAGATAGGCGCCGATAGAGATAGGCGCCCATAGAGATAGGCGCCCAAAAAGATAGGCGCCCATAGAGATCCATAGAGATAGGCGCCCATAGAGATAGGCGCCCATATAGACAGGCGACCCTAGAGAGAGGCACCCATAGAGATAGGCGCCCCTAGAGAGAGGCGCCCATAGAGATAGGCGCCCCTAGAGAGAGGCGCTCCTAGAGATAGGTGCTCCTAGAGATAAGCGCCCCTAGAGATAGGTGCCCATAGAGATAGGAGCCCCTAGAGATAGGTGCCCCTAAAGATAAGCGCCCCTAGAGATAGGCGCCCCTAGAGATATGCGCTCATAGAGATAGACGCCCAAAAAGATAGGCGCCCCTAGAGATAGGCACCCCTAGAGATAGGCGCCCCTAGAGATAGGCGCCCCTAGAAATAGGCTCCCCTAGAGATAGGCGCCCCTAGAGATAGGCGCCCCTATAGATAGACGCCCCTAGAGATAGGAGCCCCTAGAGATAGGCGCTCCTAGCGATAAGCGCCCCTAGAGATAGGTGCCCATAGAGATAGGAGCCCCTAGATATAGGCGCCCCTAGAGATAGGCTCCCTTAGAGATAGGCGCCCCTAGAGATAGGCGCCCCTAGAGATAGGCGCCCCTAGAGATGGGCCCCCATAGAGATAGGCGCCTCTAGAGATAGGCGCCCTTAAGGAGAGGCGCCCATAGAGATAGGCGCCCATAGAGATAGGCGCCCATAGAGATAGGCGCCCATAGAGATAGGCGCCCCTAGAGATAGGCGTCCCTAGAGATAGGCGCCCATACAGATAGGCGCCCCTAAAGATAGGCGCCCATATAGATTGGCGCCCCTAGAGATAGGCGCCCCTAGAGATAGGCGCCCATAAAGATAGGCGCTCCTAGAGCGCCCATAGAGATAGGCGCCCATAGAGGTAGGCGCCGCTAGAGATTGGTGCCCCTAGAGATAGGCGCCCCTTGAGATAGGCGCCCCTTGAGATAGGCGCCCCTAGAGATAGGCGCCCATAGAGATAGGCACCCCTTGAGATAGGCGCCCATAGAGATAGGCGCCCATAGAGATAGGCACCCCTAGAGACAGGCGCCCCTAGAGATAGGCACCCCTAAAGATAGGCGCCCCTAGAGATAGGCGCCCCTAGAGATAGGCGCCCCTAGAGATAGGCGTCCATAGAGACAGGCGCCCCTAGAGATAGGCGCCCATAGAGATAGGTGCCCATTGAAATAAGCGCCCCTAGAGACAGGCGCCCCTAGAGATAGGCGCCCCTAGAGATAGGCACACCTAGAGATTGGCGCCCCTAGAGATAGGCGCCCCTATAAATAGGCGCCCATAGAGATAGGCGCCTCTAGAGATAGGTGCCCATAAAGATAGGCGCCCATAGAGATAGGCGCCCCTAAAGATAGGCGCCCCTAGATATAGGCGCCCCTAGAGATAGGCGCCCTTAGAGATAGGCGCCCCAAGAGATATGCGCCCCTAGAGATAAGCTTCCCTAGAGATAGGCGCCCCTAGAGATAGGCGCCCCTATAGATAGGCGCCCCTAGAGATAGACGCCCATAGAGATAGGCGCCCCTAGAGATAGGCGCCCATAGAGATAGGCGGCCATAGAGCTAGACGCCCATGGAGATATGCGCCTCTAGAGATAGGCGTCCATATAGATAGGCGAAGAGCCGCCCCTATAGATAAGCGCCCCTAGAGATAGGCGCCCATAGAGATAGGCGCCCATAGAGATAGGCGCCCATAGAGATAGGCGCCTCTAGAGATAGGTGTCCATAGAGATAGGCGCCCCTAGAGATAGGTGCCCATAGAGATAGGCGCCCCTAGAGATTGGCGCCCCCTTGAGATAGGCGCCCCTAGAGATAGGCGCCCCTAGAGATAGGCGCCCCTAGAGATAGGCGCCCCTAGAGATAGGCGCCCCTAGAGATAAGCGCCCCTAGAGATAGGCGCCCCTAGAGATAGGCGCCCATAGAGATAGGCGGCCATAGAGATAGACGCCCATGGAGATAGGCGCCTCTAGAGATAGACGTCCATAGATATAGGCGTCCCTAGAGATAGGCGCCCATAGAGATAGGCGCCCCTAGATATAGGCGCCCCCTAGAGATAGGCACCCCTAAAAATAGGCGTCCCTAGAGATAGGCGCCATTAGAGATAGGCGCCCATAGAGATTGGCGCCCATAGAGATAGGCGCCCATGGAGATAGGCGTCTCTAGAGATAGGCGTCCATACAGATAGGCGCCCCTACACATAGGTGCCCATAGAGATAGGCGCCCCTAGAGATTGGTGCCCCCTAGAGATAGGCGCCCCTAGAGATAGGCGCCCCTAGAGATAGGCGCCCCTTGAGATAGGCGCCACTAGAGAGAGACGCCCCTAAAGAGAGGCGCCCATAGAGATAGGCGCCCATAGAGATAGGCGCCCGTAGAGATAGGCGCCCCAAGAGATAGGCGCCCCTAGAGATAGGCGCCCCTAGAGATAGGCGCCCCTAGAGATGGGCGCCCCTAGAGATAGGCGCCCCTAGATTTAGGCGCCCCTAGAGATAGGCGCCACTAGAGATAGGCGCCCCTAGAGATAGGCGCCACTATCTCTATGGGCGCCTATCTCTAGGGGCGCCTATCTCTATGGGCGTTTATCTCTAGGGGCGCCTATCTATAGGGGCGCCTATCTCTAGGGGCGCCTATCTCTAGGGACGCCTATCTCTAGGGGCGCCTATCTCTAGGGGCGCCTATCTCTAAGGGCGCCATCTCTAGGGGCGCATATATCTAGGGGCGCCTATCTCTAGGGGCGCCTATCTGTTGGGGCCCCTATCTCTAGGGGCGCCTATCTCTAGGGACGCCTATCTCTAGGGACGCCTATCTCTAGGGGAGCCTATCTCTAGGGGCGCCTATCTCTAGGGGCGCCTATCTCTAGGGGCGCCTATCTCTAGGGGCGCCTATCTGTAGGGGCGCCTATCTCTAGGGGCGCCTATCTTTATGGGCACCTATCTATAGGGGCGCCTATATCTAGGGGCGCCTATCTCTAGGGGCGCCTATCTCTAGGGGCGCCTATCTCTAGGGGCGCCTATCTCTAGGGGCGCCTATCTCAAGGGGCGCCTATGTCTAGGGGCGCCTATCTCTAGGGGTGCCTATCTCTAGGGGCGCCTATCTCTAGGGGCGCCTATCTCTGGGGGCGCCTATCTCTAGGGGCGCCTATCTCTATGGGCGCCTATCTCTATGGGCGCCTCTCTTTAGGGGCGCCTCTCTCTAGTGGCGCCTTTCTCAAGGGGCGCCTATCTCTAGGGGCGCCTATCTCTAGGGGCGCCTACCTCTAGGGCCGCCTATCTCTAGGGGCGCCTATCTCTAGGGGCGCCTATCTCTATGGGCGCTTTTCTCTAGGGGCGCCTATCTATAGGGGCGCCTATCTCTAGGGGCGCCTATCTCTAGGGACGCCTATCTCTAGGGGCGCCTATCACTAGGGGCGCCTATCTCTAAGGGCGCCTATCTCTAGGGGTGCCTATATCTAGGGGCGCCTATTTCTAGGGGCGCCTATCTCCATGGGCGCCTATCTCTACGGGCGCCTATGTCTATGGTGTGAAACAAATGACCAGGAATGAGAATGACTAAGACAGAGTTGGGTACAAATACAACCCTAGAAAGCTGTACCCCATATGTGCTACCCCACTATAGCCTACAAACATGCATCAGCTATAATAATCTGACACACCCCCATAGGCAAAGTGGGGGAGAACAAGGGGTCACAAGACCAGTCAAGCAAAGCAAAGCAGAGCAAGCTCAGGGTGGATCACAAAGTCACCACACAGTCCGAGCACAAGAGCAGGGCCAGAGGCCAGTTCACATGCAGGAGTACAGACATATATATATAAAACTAGACAAGCAGGAGAAGGTATATATATGTCACAGTACAAGAAAAGTCAAGAGGAGAGCAAGTGAGGCAAGACAGGCACAAGACCCAGCTGGGTGCAAAAGCGCTGATGGTCACAAGGCGCGAGTGCCTTGGTGAACACATCAGCAGTGCTGGCCTCAGAGGCCACGTACGCAAGTCGCAACTGACCACGCTGCTGCAGCTCACGAGCAAGGAAGTAGCGGAGAGCAATGTGCTTCGTTCTGTGCTCCAAGCGCTGCTCTCGACACAAGGCCAGCATGGCCTTGTTGTCTACGTACAGGACTGGAGGAGAACGAGGCGGCTCTCCAAGGTCAGTCAGCAGGTGGGTGAGCCAGCGAAGCTCCTGTGCAGCCATGGCCCCGGCGTAGATCTCAGCCTCACAATTGGAGCCGAGAACCGAAGACAAACGAGTAGACGGCCACGAGACAGAGCCGGAACCAAGACTGAAGGTGTAACCCTGTGACGACCGCTGCGTAGCCTGGTCGTCAGCCCAAGAAGCGTCCGCGGGGCCTGTAAGGACCACTGGACTCCGCCCTCCAAGCACTAGCCCCATGCCCGACGTACTGCACAGGTAGCGCAATACCCTCTTCGCTGCAGCCATGTGCTCTGGTCGGTGTCTCCCAGGAGCAACATAGCGTGCAAGAATGCTCAGAGGGTATGCAAGGTCAGGTCGAGTGCAGGTCATCAGGTACATGAGGCAGCCAACAAGCTCTGGGTACGGGCCACTCGACTCTACGGACTCATCCGAAGGCAGAGCTGAGAGCGAGTGGCGAGTAGACAGAGGAGTGGCCTGAGGCGAGGAGTACGTGAAGCCGAAGCGCTGAAGGACCTGCTGCACCATGTGTGACTGAGTCAAGGTGATGGTGCGGCGTGCTCTGTCCCGAGTGATCTGCAAGCCAAGGTAGCTGCGCAGTTCACCCAGGTCTGTGCACGTGTGTCTCTTCAGCAGCTCGGACTTCACGTAGGCGAGTCCAGCAGTGTCCGCTGTGGCAAAGACCAAGTCGTCGACGTACACGAGGATGTAGAACGGCGGCAGTGACGTGTCGGTGCGCAGAAACAGCGACGGGTCAGCAGTAGAGGGAGCAAACCCAAGAGCCGCAAGCGTAGTCCTCAGTGTGTCGTGCCACTCACGTGGCGCCTGGCAGAGACCGTAGACTGGCCGTCGGAGGCTCCACTGGGTGCCAGGAGGGAAAGTCCCAGTGAAGCCAGGTGGACGGCGCAGCCAGATCTT